TTATAAAGTCAGACTCTACTATCATTTTTTTCTTTGTGTATAGAGTACCTTCTTATACCTTAAAAATAGCTAGGTCTCCATAAATCAGACATCATTAGTATCCCAGTGGTAGTAAATTCTAGCACTCTTTAACAATAATATTCTTAGAGATGAACAGTTTGGTCTGCATTTATTGGATACCTATCATGTACCAAGGACTGAATATAAAAACAAAATCCCTAACTCCCAGTTTTACAGTTTAGTGTGGAAGAAACACAATTAATTAATTTACTGATACACTTTGTAAATTTGTCCCTGCCCAAACCTCATGGTGAAATGTAATCCCCAATGCTGAAGGTAGGGCCTGGTGGGAGGTGTTTGGATCAAGGGGGTAGATCCCTTATGAATGGCTTAAGCCATCCCCTTGGTGTTAAGTGAGTTCTTGCTCAAAATCTGATCATTTAAAAGTGTGTCCCCCATTCTCTCTTTCTCTCTCGCTCCAGCTCAGCCATGTGAGATGTCTGTTCCTGCTTTGCCTACCACCATGAGTAAAAGCTTCCTGAGGCCTCCCAAGAAGCTGACCAGATGCCACCACCAGGCTTCCTATAAAGCCTGGAGAACTCTAGGTCAATTAAACCTTTTCTTTATAAATTACCCAGTCTCTGGTATTTCTTTATAGCAATATAAGAATAACCTAACACGCCGGGCGCGGTGGCTCAAGCCTGTAATCCCAGCACTTTGGGAGGCCGAGACGGGCGGATCACGAGGTCAGGAGTTCGAGACCATCCTGGCTAACATGGTGAAACCCCGTCTCTACTAAAAAATACAAAAAACTAGCCGGGCGAGGTGGCGGGCGCCTGTAGTCCCGGCTACTCGGGAGGCTGAGGCAGGAGAATGGTGTAAAAACCCGGGAGGCAGAGCTTGCAGTGAGCTGAGATCCGGCCACTGCACTCCAGCCTGGGCGACACAGCGAGACTCCGTCTCAAAAAAAAAAAAAAAAAAAAAAAGAATAACCTAACACAAATATACACAAACATACATGGGAAAAAAATCTGTAAAAATATAAATTGTTTTCAGTAGTTATGTCTAAAGCAGAGATTATAAGACACTTTTATTTTCTACAGCATCTATTTTATAATGTTTACAATTTTTATAATGGCATATATACTTATATACATTGAAAAAATAATAACATTTTTAAAAAGGAGAAAAATCACCTGACAGACTTTTAAACTCATCTGCCCCCTAGCTTTTCTCTACTACCTAGATCTTAAAATTCACAAACAATTGTAGATTTAAAATTATAGTTACTATATATATAATGATACATAAGTACAAAAATATTATATAAATGGACTATTTGGACTTTTTGTTTTGTTTCTGAGACAGGTCTTGCTCTGCTCTCCAGGCTGGCGTGCAATGGCATGACCATAGCTTACTGCAGCCTCAACCTCCTGGGCTCAAGCTAGTCTGGACAGTCTCCAGACTAGCTAAGACTTGGTAGGCGTGTGTTACCAAGTCTGGTTAACTTTTTACTTTTTTTAGAGACAGGGTTGCCTATATTGCCCAGCCTGGTCTCAAACTCCTGGACTCAAGTGATCCTCGCATCTCAGCCTTCCAAAATGATAGGATTACAAACATGAGCCACCATGCCCGACCAGATTATTTAGATTAGGGAAATAATTAGAAACTCAAAATGTTGACTACTAAAAGATTAATCAAATTATAGGATATCTATATCAAGAACACTAAAGGAGGCAGTGCTGTGATAAGGTTAATAGTACAGACTTCAGAGCCACAGTGCCTGGGTTTGCACCCTAGCTCTGCCACTGACTAGCTACATAACATGATCAAGTTTCTTATCTTCTCTAGGACTTGGTTTCTACATCTGTAAAATGATGAGGAAACTGCAAAACCAGATAATTGTTGTAAGGGATCAGATTAATAATTTTAAATATTAAATATATTTAAATATAATAATTTATAGAATATATAAATAATAATATAAATTTTTATATAAATTTATAATTTAAAATATATAAAAGTACTTAGTAAACCTTCAATAAATGTTAACTAATATTTATTATGTGTATTGAAATGAAACAAAGTCAAACTTTCATTACTAAGTAAAAAAAAACTCAAAATATTTTGCATAATAATCCAATTTTAGCAAACAAAATTGTAAGGAAAACATGTTAACATATGAATAGAAAACGTGGGAGGAAGTATGACATATAAAATCACAAACCTGGGTTTTATACTTGGGATTTGAGTTCTAGATCTACTAAATATTATCTGTGTGATCTCAGGCAAATAATTTTTCTAGGCCTCAATTTCTTCATTTGTGAAATAAAGACAACCTCATGGGGTTGCTGCAAAGATTAAATAATATACCTAAATTACAATATCTGGTACACAACAAGAGCAGTAAATGTTGCCTACTGTTGTTGTATTATTACTATTATTATTATTACAGTTGTTGAGCATGCCTCTCTTGTCAACTATTATATATGTAGTATCTAAAACAATGCCTAGCAAAGTAGGTGCTCAATGATTACTTGTTGATTAAATGGATGAGTCAAACTGTTAAATGGTTAGTAGAAATGGGTGTGGGATTACAAGGATATTCATGTTCATCACTATGTATTTCTGTAATGTTAAGTTCTGCTATCAGAAAAAAAACCAAATGATACATTTTTAACTACACTATAAAAAAAACCCTATTTTCCTTAAAGTAAAAGCAAGAAGTTCTAATTTCTCTAAGAATGCTCAATTCAAAAAAGTCAGGGGAAAATGGAAAGCAGCAATAAAATAAAAGAAAAAGGAAAACAAGCTACTTTAAGCAAAGGCTTTATCTCAAGGGCAGTAATGAGAATAAGCAGTTTTATTTTCCACCTTTCCAAAGGTTATTCAGATTATTCTAAGCAATTTTTTGGGTCTCAGAAACAAGTGCAATTTTCAAACAAATGCAATCAAAGTATTATCTATGGCTCTCTAAGAATCCCTAAGACCCTTTTCAAGGAGTTTGTGAGCTCAATATGGTTTCCACCGTAATTCTAAGATAGTTTTAACCTTTTCCTCTTCTTTTCCATCTGCACTGTTGGCACAAAAGCAACAGTGTGTAAAACTGCTGGTATTTTAGCATGAATCTAGGCAATGACATTAAACTATTTCACTGACATACATAAGAGTTTCAAAAAAAAGAAAGAAAACAAGAGCAAGTTTTACTAAAAAAAAGTCTTTGACAAAGCAGTAAAACTTATTTTTATCAAACTTTGACCTTGGAGTACAAGCCTTTAATATTCTGTGGAATGAAATAGGAAGTACAAATAAAGAACTACTGCTGTATACCAAAATATGCTAGTTATCTTGAAGAAAGTACTTCAGCAATTGATTTGTAAGCTAAATTGTTAGCTTTTTTCCTTGGAACATCATTTTTGCTTGAAAGAACAAATGAGAGACAAATGTGGTTTTCCAGACAAGGATATCTGGCAGATATTTCCTTAAAAATGAGTTAAATCAGTCTGTAGCTTTGTGAACAAACAACTAATAGTATTTGTTGTTGTTGATAAAATTTGAATTTTCAAGTGCAAATTTAAAAATTAGAATTTTGTAAAACTTAGATCTGCCACTGTGAGTTTGCCGTAGGTAACTTAACTTCTCTGATAACATCATATCTAATGTGTCAACACTTAGACATTCACAAATCAGTAAATGTACAATGTTACAAAATCATACAGGAATAAAAGATCCATTTGAAGGGGTCCAAAGGATTTGACCATAACAAAGTACAAATTTTACATTACAACTAACCTTTGAGAAAGCAATACTTTTAAAGTTTTGACATATTGTCAAAGAATATCATATTTACCTGAAAAATACAATATTTCTCCTTTTCCAACTACACATATGTGTGAGACAGAACTTTTTTCATTGATTTCAACCAAAAGCAAAACAAAACAAAAACACTGCAACAGATTGAATGAAGAAGTATGCAGGATCCAGCTGTGGTATTAAGGCAGACATTTAAAAGATTTGCAAAAATGTAAAACAATGCAATCTTCTAGCTAACTTTTTTGGCTAACTATAGTTATTTTTTCATTAAAAAATGTGATTATATTAACATATAACAAGTTTATTATTACTTCAAATCTATTCATAGTTCTTATTTTCTTTTTTTTTTTTGAGACAGGGTCAAGATCTGTTGCCCAGGCTGGAGTGTAGTGGTGTGAACATAGCTCACTCAGCCTCCATATCCTGGGCTCATGCAGTCCTCCCACCTCAGCCTCCCAAGTAGCTGGGACCACAGGCATGCCATCGCCATGCCCAGCTAATTTATTTTTTTGTTTTTGTTTTACAGAGATGGGTCTCTTCATGTTTCCCAGGCTGGTGTCAAATTCCTGGGCTCGGCCGGGCATGGTGGCTCACGCCTGTAATCCTAGCACTTTGGAAGGCCAAGGCAGGTGGATCACCTAAGAGATCAGGAGTTTGAGACCAGCCTGGCCAACATGGTGAAACCCCGTCTCTCCAAAAATACAAAATAGCCTGGTGTGGTGGCGTGTGCCTGTAATCCTAGCTTCTTGGGAAGCTGAGGCAGGAAGACTGCTTGAACCTGGGAGGTGGAGGTTGCAGCGAGCCTTGCACCACTGCACTCAAGCCTGGGCGACAGAGCAAGACTCCATCTCAGAAAAAGAAAAAACAAATTCCTGGGCTCAAGGGATCCTCCTGCCTTGGCCTCCCAAAGTGCTGGGATTACAGTTATAAGCCACCATGCCTGGCCTAAATATTAATAAAATGTTTTGGTTTTAATGTCTAATATGGCAAATATTGATAGATAATCCTAGAAACAAAAGCTCTTTTGGGATGTCAATAATTTTTAAGAGTGTAAGTGGAGATGTCAATAATTTTTAAGAGTGTAAGAGTTTGAGGACTACTATACTAGTAGCAAATAGTAGTAAACTAGAGTCTTGTTTATAAAAAGCGTTGCTCTTGAGACTTTTCAGAGTATCCAAGGACCATACCTGCTTAGCAAAAAATATCGTGTCAAGTCGGGAGTCCTGAACCACAGAGCCTGCTGGTTCTTCTCCTGGCTGCCACTTGAAAAGAAAAATTAACCCATGAACTGGCCTACAAAACAAAATACAAATTAGTGACAAACCCTGCTCCTTTCATAATACATTGTTAATCTATAAAATGTTGTCAGTTATTTAACAAATATAATGCAAATGAAGTAAATATGGGAAATTTTAAAAGATCACTATTGCCATTCATAGTCACTGGACTGTTGCCTTAGAAGACGCTAATACAAGTTAAAATTATATCAGTTAAAATAAAATTATAGTGAAAGGTTTACTTTCAAATCTGTAGACTATTCATTTCTACCCAATATCGCCTCAATTAAAAAATAAGAATATGGTAAAACCAGAAGCTGGCTGAACTCCAAAATATATAAAGTTCATGTAACATGTTTATAAACGGCTGATAATATAGGAAGTAACCTTCATATACTATTGGATTCATGAAAAATCCTCATATTGCAGTATGAATTGATGCTACCATCTCATACATAATGAAATCATCCACTTTCCTAAAGAAACTGTTTTTGAGCACAAAACATTAAATCACTACTTTGAAATTCCTTCTAGTCTATCTATCACAACTGCCTCCCACCCCACAAAAAAACTTTTCCTGTCCTCAGGGCTGGGCGTGGTGTCTCAAGCCTGTAATTCCAGCACTTTGGGAGGCTAAGGCGGGCAGATTACTTGAGGCCAGGAGTTTGAGACCAGCCTGGACAACATAGTGAAACCACATCTCTACTAAAAAAACAAAAACAAAACAAAGCAAAGAAATTAGCCAGGCGTGGCAAAGCGTGCCTGTAATCCCAGCTACTTGGGAGGCTGAGGCAGAAAAATCACTTGAACCCACGCGGCAGAGGTTGCAGTGAGCTGAGATCACACCACTGCACTCCAACATAGGTGACAGAGTGAGACAGTTTAAAACAAACAAACAAACAAAAAAACCCCAAAACTTCCCCCTTTTTATTTGATTCAATTTTATTTTAGACACGGGGTCTCACTATGTTGCCGGGGCTGGACTTGAGTTCCTGGGCTCAAGTGATCTCCCCGCCTCAACGTCCTGAGTAGCTACAACTACAAGCATACGCCACCATGCCTGGCTCCTATCTTTTTAAAGACAGTTCAAATGATGCATTTTTAATTCACCTTCCCTGATGTTAGCCACAAATGATCTCATTTCATCTAAAGTGACTGCTCTTTTAAGGGGAGAAGAAAGGTAGGAAGAAGAAAACTACCTATCTCCTTCTTACTATTAACAACAGTTGGCATATCCCTAAGTTCCTATTTTCCCTTTTAAAAGATTATTCCTTGACCCCATTCCAAGACTCCAAGTCTCCCAGCAGTGAAAATTCTTTTAGCCCTCCATTTGCAGATACAGGGTCAATGTTTGAGGGCATGGTGGTCAGGGGTAAGGAGAAGTTAAGAGAGGTGATTCTGGTCAGAAAGACAGGGGAAGGATAAAAGCTGTTTCTGGCATCAACATTTGGAACTTTAAATATAACTTTCCCAAGAGGCAATGTGATAGTGTGTAGGCAAGTTCTGGATTATTATAAATATACATTATGTATTAAATATGCTTTAGTACACTGACCTATTGTTCTTGCTTTTTATGTTAAATGTGTTCCATGTTCTAACACTATTGATATATGACTGAATTTTGTAAAAAAAAAAAAAAAAAAAAAATCAGCCAACCAGTACTTTGTGGATATGGAACTACAGAGACTTAGGTTTGACTCCCTTGCAAGTTACCTATCAGCCTCAGGTTCTTGGTTATAAAAAGAGAATAATAATATCTATCTCACAGGATTGAACAGACTTAAAGGACATAATGTATTAAACCTAGAGTAATCCAAGTAAAATAAACAAACAAATCTGAATATCCTTTAAGTTTGCTAAAGAATATACATATTATTAACGCAACTAAAATTATACTTACTTTAATTTTTCAAAATTCTCAGGCTCTAAACTCCATATTTCTTCTACTTGGGCTCCTCGGCAACCTGAAATAATAAATTATTTTCTTCAGTAAACAGAATAATTCATTTTTTCCTTCAACATGAAATAAAATATTAACTAAAGGAAATGCAAGACATGACAAAACAAAATGGTAAAACCAACAAAGCTCACAGCCAAATCTCATTACTTCCTTTAATATATCCCAATTATTTATAGTGGGAGTATATTTATAATTTAAAGCATTTCAAGAGTTTATTTTCATTGAATTACCACTCTATGACGGTTCCTTCTCTCTCTCTCAATCTCTGGCTCCTCTATCCACTCTTTTCACTCAACTGTTCCATTTCTCCAGCTCCGTCTTTAGCCCTGTATTATTATTATTTTTTTCTTACTGTATACTTTTTTTTCTGGGAAAGTAAATAACTACCACTTAAGAGTAACTTTCAAATACATCTTTACTTCTGATCCTTATCCTGAATTCCAACTGTATATTTTCAACTACTTCAGAGTCACGTCTCCTCCTCCCCTCCCAAATGTCCTTCTAGGACAGCAGTTCTCAACTAGGGTGGTTTTGCTCCCCAGGGAACATTTGGCAATGATAGGCTTTTTTTTTTTAATTGTCATTATTTTCACTGGTGTGGGGGGTAGGGGACATGCTACTAGCATCTATTTGGTAGAGGCCAGGGATGCTGATAGATATCCTGCATTGCACAGGACAACCCCTGACAACCTTGAAAAAGAACACGATTTCTTTGAGCCTCAACTTTTGCCATGCATATATAAAACAAGGATATTTACCTGCTTCATCCAAGGTACAAAATTTTTGCGAGGTATGTAAGATTATCAAACAGTAAACACCAAGAATCATTTAATACAGACTCCCCAATAATATATATTAAATAAAAAGTTGAGGAGGGAGGAAGGTTTTAAAACGGTATTTACCAAATATCTTTTGTGTGCCAAGCATGCTACCAGGCCCTGGCAAGGACAGAAATTAATATTGTCACAATACTTAAAAAGTCACAATCTGGTAGGAGACAAGCACATGCAATGCAAAAACTATATAGTATGCATAAATTACATATGAAGCATACATAGAACATGTTCTGGAAGTTCGGAGGTAAGAGAGATTATTACTACCTGTACTGGTTACAAAAAAAAAAAAAAAAAAAACTGTCATGGATAAATGAACTAGGTCTTTTAAAAAATGATCATATGATTTGTCATCTAAACCAGAACACTGCTCCAAAGCGAAAGGGGATGCTAACGTTAAAATGCTTTGAAATATTTATTTATTAACTAACACATCTGCATTATACCGATGGGTCTATAAAATCATTCAATTCAGAAACAAATTTCAAAAATAACTGTCTTAAAAATCAACCTGGAGCCCCAAGGAAAACGCTCGTGGAGTTCTCCCAAACTGTTGTCAATGTGTTAAATTTCACTGACTGCTAGGTATGCTATCTTCCAACAGACAGTTTTGACAATTTGTCATTCCCCTAACCTTACCGATAAATCTATCAGAAGCAGCAAGAATGGCCCCAGCTTCTGCACCTCTGCAAAAAAACACTCCCATATGTCTTCCACAACCCCACTCTCAGTCATTCCATGGTACAGATAAACTCCATTTGGCTGATGATGTGACCAAATAGGAAAAACTGGATTGACAGCACTCAGGTAGTCTCTCCTTAAACAAATACTATACCCAATTATTTTAACTAAAGTGGGAGCCCTAAATTGCAGGCACTGTTACCTTGTACCCCTAAACTTAGCTGGTACCATTTTAGGAGCCGTAACAATTGTAAGCAACACTTGCTTACAGGGGCACCATGTGCACCCCTAGACTTCTTGTGTGAAAGCCAGGCATTATCTCTCTCCTCAAAACAAGGTGAAATGTACCTTAGGAGCAGTCATAATAGAGCTTCATGTTAAGGAAACACCGTGTTGGACCCAAAAGTCATTCAAATCAGCCCTAACTCATGGGTCAGAGTTGTTATAGATGATGGAATTACTCTTCTTCCTTGCATGACAAGGTAGAGTCTGCAAAATCACTTATATATCTTGCTGTCCCGGGATTAATGCTTTGAGCCAAGAGGAAATGTCAATACAAAAATCCAAGAAAGTTATCTGGTTTTTTACTGTAAACATTATAAAGACACAAATTAAACAGATTTGGCACCAACCCTGTTGGTCAGATCATATTGAGCAGAATGGCTGAGGGAATGGCTATTTGGTGTAGAAAGAAGGCTGGATATTGTTGGAAGAATTGTCTTCCAATGGGTTTCTCCTGTTTCTGCACATCTTCTGCAAGGAATTACCAGCTTTGCTCTGGACCATCTTTTCAAGGATGTTCATACAGTAACAGAGTTGGAAGACAGAGATAGCACCTTTTTTTGAGGCAGAGGGAAGGCGGATTTGCTGCTCAGGATAATAAAGATAATGTGTCCCTAAAGGCAAAAGTTGAGCAGGTTTGCTAGCAGCTTCCTTGTAAGATTAGTTCTCTATCTCAGAGTTCCTCAGCTGTAATACAGCCTCACTACTTGTGCAGCATCTACCAGAGCCCACCTCCATCCTCATGGACTCGGAGGAAATGGGAACCAATGTCAAAATGAATCTCCTGTTGCCTACTATGCTATGAGTAATACAACCCTTATCTCTAAACCAAAAGTTGTCTGCTAGCATCTATGAAACTGGCAAGCCAACTTATTTGCTGGCAAGCAGGATAAAATCTAACACTTCATAATTCTTAATAGATGTTAGATTTTGTCAAACGCCTTTTCCATCTATTGACATAATCATATTTTTGATTTTTGATTTTTTTGGCTTATTAATATAGTACATTATATTGATTTTTAAATGTTAAACCAATCCTAAATTCCTGGTAAATTCCTGGGGTAAATCCCACTTAGTCATGATGTATTGTCCACTGAATGAAGTATTAAATTCAATTTCGTAAAATGGTTTAAAATTTGTACATTTAAGTTAATGATGGATATAGGTCTGTAATTTTCTTTTCTAGTAATATCTTTGTCTGGTTTGGTGTCAGGATAATGCTGGTCCTCAGAAAATGAATTGGGAAGCATTCCTTTCTCTCCAATTAGTTTGGAAGAGTTTGTGTAGAATTGGTATTATTTATATTATTAAATATTTGATAGAATTTACCAGTGAATCCACTTTGGCTAGAATTTCTTTGTGGGAAAATTTTAAACTACAGTTTCCATTTCTTTAATAAATACAGGGCATATACTGGTTATCTATTTCTTACGTGAACACTGGTAATTTGTGTCTTTAAAGGAATTTGTACATTTCATCTTTAAAGGAATTTGTACATTACATGTCAAATTTATTGGCATAAAATTGTTCATAATATTATTTTTAGTATCTGTAGCATCTGTAGTGCTGTCACCTCTCTCATTCCTACACTGAAATACAGGAACATTTCTTTTTTCTGATCAGTCTGGCTACAGCAATTCTATTGATCTTCCCCAAAAAACAGCTCTTAGTTTCATGTATTTTCTCCATTTTTTTTCTCTTTTCTGTTCCACTAATTTCAACTCCGATTTTTATTATTTCCTGTCATCTGCTTACTTTAGGTTTAGTGTGCTCTCGTCTTCTACTTTCTTATAATAAAATGAAAGCTGGGGTCATTGGTTTGTTGTAAGAAAAATGAATCCAGTCCCCATTACTCTATCTTGACAGTAACCAAATGTTTATAACTTCTGTTTTTATTAACAGACCATCACGGTTTGTTTTGGCACACATTTGTTATTATGTATGGACCATACCAATTAAAAGTACAGTTCTGCTCCGCCAGTTTCTTAATTTAAAGATACTACATTCCACCAAACTGTATTTACATACTTACTGCATCTACAATTTATTTCCCTTTCAATGATGGAACTTTTGAAATGAATTTATGACAGCATTCACAATACAGATATTTCATTTTTGAAAGACTCAACAGCCAAAAACTTTTTAAAATGTATAAATTGAGTGAAAAAAATGAAAATGATGGAAATAATTGGAATAAATTGATTTTCTCTTTGAAGCATCCGATGGTGACATAAAACTACCATCATTTAACTTTTTGCAGGTTCTTCTGCTAATGAAGCCAATTTATTAATAGTTACTGCTTTTTCATATGTGCATGTACAGAATATTTTATATATCATTCTTTCATGCATGATCTCCAATTTTTCTGCACATATGAAATTGAAGGAGTAAACAAACTACCTAGTACAACATTTCTGAAAGTTAACTTTAACATATTGTTAAGGTTTTGAGGGTGAAATATATGGCTAAATCTGCAGACATGTGAAACTCAGTGTCTGTCCAAATCTGAATCCATTTTCTTGTCCATCAAGCCTGCTTTTCACTTGTAATTGCGTTTCACCAGCCACCCAGGCTAGAAACCAGGGAGTTATTTTTGCCTCTTTTTTCCCCCGACGTCTAGTAAGCAGTCCTTTTGATTTTTTTTTCTCTCATGTAGGAGTAATATACTACCACTCAACCTCTACTGTAAGGTTGGCAGCCCTGAGAACTCCTTTTTTAATTTAGCATGTTATGGATGTATTTCTGCTCCCAAAGGAATAAAGAGCAGACATTTCCACATGCAACTGCTGATTTAAATATAGTAAACTTATGGAATCTAACTCCTCCTTCCTAACCCACTAGTTTAGCCAGTCATCTCGGACTCCAACCATTTTAAGAGATGTCTAGCTTCCCTCACTTTATTCCAACCTGTCCTGCACACTTACAAGCACAATAAACCTTAATTATGAATGTCATTTCAGCATTAAAATATATTTGATAGGTAAATTCCCAGTCACTACAGGGTAATTCAACCTATACAACATGGGATACAATCTGGCCTCGGTTTATCTTTTTAGTTTCAGATGCAAATAAATATTCCTCCAGTCTGTTACATTACGTTCTAGTCACTTTGCTAGCTGTTCGCTAAGCCATATACTTTAACATCACTACTGTTTATGTTTTTCCTTCTGCCTGTGCTCCTCCACGACCTGTGTACTTTATAACATTTTGTACATACTCTAATACAGCAATTAACACACCATATTATAGTCTATCAATTCTTCAAAACAGCAGTTATGGTTTATTCACACGGAAATTTTCCAATCCTTGGCTGGGCGCAGAGGCTCACACCTGTAATCTCAGCACTTTGGGAGGCCGAGTCGGGTGGATCACGAGGTCAGGAGCTCGAGACCAGCGTGGCCAGCATGGTGAAACCCTGTCTCTACTAAAAATAGAAAAAAATTACTCGGCCTGGTGGCGCGTGCCTGTAATCCCAGCTACTCGGGAGGCTGAGGTAGAAAAATCGCTTGACCCGGAGAGACGGAGTTTGCAGTGAGCCAAGATCGCGCCACTGCACTCCAGCCTGGGCGACAGAGCGAGACTCTGTCTCAAAAAAAAAGAAAAGAAAAGAAAATTTCCCAATCCTTACCACTGTGCCTGAGATACAGATGAACAACATATGCTTGATAAATGACATTCCAAATATTAAGCTACAATAGGCAGTATCTCCATCAACGTTTGTTATCCCGCGTGAAAGTTTTAACATCGTAGAATCAATAATACTTGGGAAATGTAACAGATAAAAACGTACTGTCCAAAGAAGAGACTAAAGATAAACAGGGAAGGATAAAAAGTCAAATGTGCTGATTATTTAGGACGGAAGGCACTAAACACAGCCAGAGAGAAACTGTGAGGAAAGCATGTGGCCTCTAGTCTAGAACACTAGCTCAAGAAAACTCACTTCACCGGAAGACAGAAATGAGCAGAGAGCGGAATCAGTGAAGTGGCCTTTCAGGCCCACGCAGTCGGCATGTGTGGACGTCCCGAAGAGCTATTCACACATTCAGGGCGTTCTGCTTTGAGTAACCAGAATCTCGAGTTCCTGGGCGGCTTAGGCCGCAGACACCTCACCCTTGAGAAGGCACACCCTAGGGTGGCTCCTGCAGGACTAATGGCCTGAGCAATGCACTTGACCACACCAGCCCGGGATAAGGTGCGCGCCGCAGAGAAGGGGCAGTGGAAAGGACAGTATGTGCTTTAAGAGCTTGGGGAGCGAGGGTCCTCAAGTCAATTACAGGATTTGGGTGCCAGGTCCTGAGGATATAGCAGGCACAAGACAGACACGATCCTTGCCCTCGTGGTGTGGCTCTTCAAATTACTGTGGAAACGCGACTGTCTCGAGAGCAGAAAACCTACATTTCCCCCACCCGGACTCCAGGTTCCTGAAGTCACCTCTCCAGATGCGGGGCGGCGGTGGCCGCAGGGAACCACTCCATGCCCAGCTTGGGCCTCCTCCCGTGACCCCAGGCCCAGGACGGTCCCCTAGGTTCTCACCGAATCCTTTAATGAGCTCGGTGAAGACCCCGGGGTCGCTTTCCATGAGGCACCACTCCCCGGCATTGCCCGTCATGGCCCCGGCCACACACCGCCCCGATCCACCTCTCGCTCTCGGCCGCCCCCCGCACCAGCTGCAGCCAGCCACAGATCTCAGCAAACCCGCCGCCGAGCTCGTCCACCACACGTCACCCCGCCTACTTCCCGACAGCCTCCGGGCGCCGTCACCTGCAGCGCGACGGAGCGCGCGAGGACGCTCTAGCCACCCTAGAGACATCGAAACTCTTCCCAGGCCGTGCAGCACCGGTAGCGGATTCGGAAGGGCTGGGGCCTGAGAAGAAAGGGCGGAGATTCAGAGCGCCGAAGGAGGTAACATCCGGGATCCTCGCCCCAATGGGGCGGAGGCGGGGCAAAAGAAGAGGGGCGGGACTCGTTCCCGGGAACCGAACCTGGAATTCCCCGGCGGCAGTGGGGCTGTTGCTGTCGCTGTCGCTGCCTATCGGTCTGCCGTCTCTTGTCGTTTCCCAGCGCTGCGCAGGACTTCTCCTGGCGGCGCTGCGGGTCCAGGTGGGGGTCGGCTGCCAGGCCCAGGTGAGGACATTGCGGGAAGCCGACTGGGAGCCTTTTGTGCTGTGTGAGCGGCCCCAGGGACGCGCAAAGTCTGACCAGTCCTCCATGTCTCTCACCCTCATCCCAGGGGCTGAGGCTGGGCAAACGCCGCGAAACTATCGCTCTTCGCCGCCTCGCTTCCGCGCCTGCCCACCCTGGGAAACGGAACCAGCATCGCGGTAGGGACATCCTCGCTAGGCCTGCCCGGACCATTCCTGAGGGTGGGCCCTTTCCGAAGCCGGGACCGCTCCTGCTTGTCGGCATCGCTCCCCGCAGGCCGACGTCGAGAGGGCCTGCTTTACTCCTCCTCTTTCTCCTCCTCCCGCGGCTTCTGCGCGGAGAGGCGTCGCCCGGGATCTGGGTTTTGGAAGAAGGATCTTTGTGGGAAGACAAGGCGAATTTATCATAGAGGGAATAACGAGGGAGAGGAGAAAGGTCTGTCCTATAGTCCATGGGGCTGCTAGACTGGTGGAAGGGGATGCGATGCGTCAAGGGAAAATTAGGTTGAAAACAAATGTCGTGTATTAATCTAAAAACATTTGGAATGGTTCTAAAACTGGATGATGAGTTAAAACCCAATATTTACTAAATTGCCCTCATTCAACAGGCTCTCCCAGAATACTGTAGTGTTAAGATTGAAGTTTTTAAGAGTGTATTTGTTAAAGGCTTTAAGTTGCATATTCCTTAAAAGCTGCATATTCCAAGAAAGACCCTTGGCTTCCAAGGAAAAAACAAAAAAGTTTTAGTGGATAAAACTCTGACTCCTTCCTTCTCAAATAGGTGACCTGTGCCATGGAGTTAGGGAGCCTTGTGCTACGGATTATGTGAAGCCTCGAAATAAACATGGTAAATTTTATGAGGGAAGCAACAGAGCAGCTTTTGTATTAAAAGAAGCCTGAGTACTTTATGGGGTAGAAGCCAAAATTTGTATGAAGTGTTGGTTTAAAAAAAATTTTTTTGTAACTTTCTTGAAGTTTATCTCCGAAAACTCTGCCCTCAACTTGGAGAGTGGGGGGATTCTGTTCAGTGTATTTCCTTGAGATACTTAATTGGAAAGGTTTAAGAGGCACAAGAGTCCAGAATGATTGGCATCAGAGCCCGAAGTAGTTTGTGGTATTTTTTTAAATCTGTAATATTGCTATGAACTTGAAACTGTTTTCTGTGCAGAATGCATCAAAACTAAAATTTATTTGATACCCAACTTAATTAACATGGTACCTATTGTAGACCAAACTGAAAATTTAGCCTTTGGCACAATCTAGAAGTAAGCAGAGGAGGGGGTTAAAATGTCTTTCATTATGTTAATATTTGATCCTGAGAGTTTCCATAAAAAGCCAGATTTCTGGATCTTTGAGAAAAATGAGATCTGGCAACTACTAGTTCCATACCACGTGGCAACCGGTTGGCAGCTCCCCTCAGACTAGCATGCTGTCATTTTTGCCACAGTTCCTTCCTCATCAGTTTTTATAGCATCACATTGATCAGTGGATTCAAATACCTGTATCATGGGTAAGCAAACCTCTATCATGGGCCCATTTTTGTAGTATTGTTTCTTTACATTTGTTGTGCACTCTCATAGATTGACAAATCTTTGACTTAATTTAAAAAGGAATAATCTGCAAATGTCTTTGACTTCTTGAGATGAAAGGCAGCATTTTCAAATTATCAAGAGACTTTGGAAAGATGTTGAGATGTGTAAATTCAAGAAAAATGTAGGATTCCTTGGAAATAACATATTAGTACTGATAGAAGATACTGTACATGCTGTAGTTCTGATGATTGTGAAACAAGTGCTATTATATAATGTGTTATTAGCATTTCCTGATTTTGCATTCTAAATTAAATTTTAAAAGTAGAGAAATGAACAATGCATAAAATATCCACAACCAATTTAAAATGTGGCCATGCTTGGCCGGGCGCGGTGGCTCACACCTGTAATCCCAGCACTTTGGGAGGCCCAGGCAGGTGGATCACGAGGTCAGGAGTTCAAGACCAGCCTGGCCAACATGGTGAAACCCCGCCTCTACTAAACATACAAAAAATTAGCCGGGCACCGTGGCAGGTGCCTGTAATCCCAGCTATTGGGAGGCTGAGGCAGGAGAATCGCTTGAACTTGTAGGGCGGCCGTTACAGTGAGCCAAGATTGCGCCACTGCACATCAGCCTGGGCGACAGAGTGAGACTCTGTCTCAAAAAAACAAAAAAGAAAAATGTGGCCATGCTTTTAATATTATGGCATTGTAATATTTAACTTCTCAAGAATTTAATTTATAGAGATTTAATACATTAGTTGTATGGTGTGTTTTAAGAGCACTAGATAGATAGGTCAGGCCCATCCAAAGAATTAACTACATTTTTTTTGTTGTTAATCTGGATTTACAACACTTGATTATCCAGGAATGGATTAACTGATGACCAGGTTCTGACCTCACTCACTGCCCAATTGCCTTCTAAACCACTGATAATGGAGCTTAAGCTTTGAGGCAGGAGATGATGGCAGTTGGAGAAAGAAGAAATTAAGTTGCTATGTATGTCTGTGTGTATCTCAAATTGCTTTTAAAAGTCAAATATAAAAATTGTAAGGCTAAATATAATTTTCGTGTAATCAATTGTATTGGTGCTCTCCATTATGATATAGATAATAGCAGGGTTATTTAAGTGCTTGTTTATTTAAATAACTTTCCAAATATATTTCACCTGGCCAGTTTTTGTGTTTTTAATAATAGATTTTTAGAATATAATTCACATATCATGAAGTTTACCATTTTAAAGTATCCAGTGCATTGGTTTCTAGTATATTCACAGAGTTGTGCAGTCATCACCACTAATTTCAGAACATTTTCATCACCCAAAAAGAAATCTACCCATTAGCAGTCACTTCCCAGTGTTCCTTCTCCGTGGCCTCTGACAACCTTAGACTAATGTACTTTTTATTTCTATGAATTTACCTACTCAGGAAAATTCATATAAATGGAATTGTAATACAATATGTGGCCTCTCGTGACTGGCTTCTTTCACCTGACATAATGTTTTCAACGTTTGTTTACATTGTGTCATGTATCAGTACTTCATCCCTTTTTATTGTCTAATAATAGTCCATTGTGTGGATGTACCATATTTTTTCATCCCTTCATCAGTCGATGGACATTTGGGTTGCTTCTGCTTTTTGACTGTTATGAATAATGTTGATAAAAACATCTGTGTACAACTTTTGGTATAGATACATGTATTCCTTTTTCTTAGGTGTGTGGTGGAATTCCTGGGTCATATGCTAACTATATTTAACCTTTTGAGAAACTGCCAGACTGTTTCCCAAAGTGGCTGTGTTATTTTACATTCCCACCAGCAGTATATGAGCGTTTCATTTTCTCTAAATCCTCACCAACACTTATTTTTATTGTTTTGATTATAGCCATCCTAGTGGTTGTGAAGTGGTATCTTATTGTGGTTTTGATTTGCATTTCCCTGATAACTAATGATGTTTATCGTCTTTTTATGTGTTTACTGGCCATTGGATAATCTTCTTTGGGAAAACACCTTTTCAGATTCTTTACCCATTTGTATGTCTTTGGAGTAATATTCACATATTTTGCCTATTTTTACTTGGGTTATTTATCATTTTATTAAGTTGTAAGTGTTCTTAGTATATTCTAGATACAAGTCCCTTATCGTATGTATGATTTGCAAATATTTTCTCTATTCTTGGATTGTCTTTTCACTTTCTTGATGGTGTTCTTGGAAATACAAGTTTTACATTTTGATAAAGTCCAGTTTATTTTTTTATTTTGTCACTTTTGCCTTTGGTGTCTACATTCCAACACTAATTCTGTAACACCAGCTGGGTGCCCCCCACTTCCGTTTAGTTCTGACACTAGACCCAGGGTTGGCATCAGATCCCACAAATTAAAGGACAAGGTCCCCACTAAGAATGCCGTTAATTTGGATGCCAGCTGTAAATGGGGTCCCCAGGCTACTCACACTTCTGCCCTGTGGATTACAATTTCAAGACTCCCCATAATCCCCTCAAGGCTGATAATTCACTAGAATGAGTCACATAACTCACTGAAAGTGCTTTACTTGCAATTACAAGTTCCTGATACAACTCAGGAACAGCCAAACAGAAAGTAGACACATATGGCAAGGTTTAGGGCAAGGAAAGGATGCAGAACTTCCATGCCATCCTTGTGAAATGTGGGCACATCACTTTCCCAGCACATCAGTTTTTGTTCACCAAGGATGCTCCACTGAGTATTGATGAACAGAGTTTTTATGAGATTTCGTCACATGGGCATGATTGATTAAATCATTAGCTGCGTGACTGAACTCGATCTCAAGTCCTCTTCCTTTCCTAGAAAGTTGGCCTGACCAGTTTATTCCTCTAAACATATGGTTGGTCTTTCTAGTGACTAGCCCCCATCCTGAAGCTACCTAGGGGCCCATGTTGCCTCATTAATGTAACAAAGACACTCCTGTTTCTCAGGAAATACCAAGGGTTTTTGAAACTTTCTGCTGGGTATTATGTACAAAGACCAGATACTCTCTCTTATAAGATGCCACAGTATCATATCACTTTGCCAAATTTTGAGTTTATTTGTGTATCACACTCAGTGACAAGAAGGAGAGTAGCTTGGGACATGTTACTCTCTTTTCTGTCTTTTAAAATATGAATATGACCCTGGTAAATTTATACAATAAAGTAGAAGGGTGTCCTGGCTGCTAATAATGTTATCTGTTCCACTGTTTTATGTTGCACTCTGGAAAATACAGTCGCAGAAGCATAGGAAAAGCTAAGCATTTTCTGCTGCAGAAAAACTGAAAGAGTATGTCCTTAGGGTTGTCATTTATATCATAATATGCAAAAGGAAGAGTCTGTGAATAAATAACTTGATTTCTTCTAATAGGGATTATAAGGATTACACTTAGAGATTACCTCTTAGACATCCTTTATAGATTTAGAAGTTCATTTTGCTGCTTGCTCTAGAAAAGTACTTGAATACCTAGTATTAAATATATTAGAAAAATGGAAATATTGTTCTTAGATGACATTTTTACTCAGCATTCACTACTTTTCTTTAAAACTTTGTTTTTTCTTGATTATATTCTTCACTACCTGCATATAGTACATTTATCATTCTGATTACAGAGTTTATCTTAAAGACTTGTATTATATATTGAATTACACATACTGAGGCTTTTATTCTCAAAATGTGTTATGGGAAAGAGAAACCAATTGTGCATGATTATTTGGGAAATGATTCAGAAAGTCAACTTTAATGATATTTGGCTTTAAGTATGTATTACTAATTACATAAAAGCAATACAAAAGAGGAGACAAAAATGATAAGATTTGGTTTCTACTCTCAAGGGAACCAATAATGTAGCTACATGTGGTCACAATGAATAATACAAAGAAAAGAATTTGAAGGGGAAGGGAATTTTGAGGTTTGGTTTGGGACCTTTTAAATCCCACCAGTTGGTCCTTGGTGCAGGAAAGCAGGTGTAGTAGAATTATCTGATATTAGATGTCATTTCAGTGTTACTCATCTAACAAATATAACTAACAAGTAGAAGTAGACAGGTTGAAGTGCCACCAGAGACTGTTTTTATGAAAGCTAAGGGAGAGACTAGCAGAGTCTATGCAATGTGAAGATCAGAAAAACATAGCATTTTCTACTGGAATTGGCAATTAAGGTATCAGTCTTTGTGAAGCATGTTAGTCTTCTTAAAGTGTTTTGGATCGAAAGGTAGAGATAAAAGCTAAATTGAAAAGAGGATAATAATAAATAGAAGAAGAGGCATCCACTACACCAGGAGTTCCAGCCTGTGCTGTATTCAGTAACTACAAATTTGTCCCTAATGACTAATATGATCATTACATCTCTGATACCACCTGAGACCCAGGCTTCCACTAACATAAGCAAATTTGTACTAGAATCTTATTTGGAATATTGACACTAATATTCCCAACACAATTCAGATCACTGTACCCCTCAGTCACAGTCACATTCACAATGTGAGGTTCTCCATTCTTCCATGCACTTATCCCCCTACACCACTATGTGTTCCCCTCTCTGAGACCCAGTCTTTCATTCCTCCCATCTCTACCAAATTTCTCCACATACCATTTGGCATTCTACATCTCCTGTCAGAGGGGAATGTCTTCAATTTCCTTATCCCTCACTCCCTCAAATCTCTCTTTACGTATACTCTTCACCCTTAAAAGATAAAGGAAGTATCTCTTTTGCTGTTAGTAGGCCAGTCTCAACCTGGATGCTCTAAGCTCATTCTGTCTCATTTCTTTCAGGAATCTAATTCCTTCAGTTATCCCCCTTCTCTACTGTATCTTCACCTCTCCAAATTGAATCTTTCAATCTTAGCATCTTCCCGTTGAAAAAGGTAAAAAGATTTTTCCTCTAAGTCCCATCCTCTCTCTTACTTTCATTTATAGTTTTTGTGTCTACAAAGAGTAGTCTAGCTGTGAAGTTTCCTCACTGCATATCTTCCTGATCTCACTGTAATCAGGCTACTTCTTGTACCACTCTACTGCAGTTACTCTCACTAGTCACTCCTACTTGGTAAATCCAAGATCATTTTCTAGCCTTTTATTTACTTTTCCTCTGACCATTTGAAATTATCAACCATTCACTCCTTGAAGTTCTCTTCCTCGTGGTCCATTAGTTTTCTTCAACTCTGCACCTCCTTTTCTGCCTCTTTAAAAAGCCCTTCTCTCATTAGCTCTTAGTTGTTAATATTCACCAAGATTTTATCCTTAGCCTTCCTCGTAATATATAAACATGTTCAAGTAAGGATGGTCTTCAAAACAAAACTTCTTAATTACCTTGTGTTCCTCTTTAAGTTATGGCCATATCTGTCAACATGTCTGTATGGCTCTACAGGATGCTTAGACAGTTTCTTTTCTAGAATATAAAGACAGATCAGGATTTCAGAAACCTCTTCCTGGAGCGCCTTCCCTAAACTTTATCAGTTTTTTAGTTTGCCTTCTCTCCTCAAATCTTTCTGGATTATTTAGACAGTATTATTTTATACTCCCTTGCTCACTCATAATACTTTTCTACTACAGCACTTAATTACAGTTTGCATTGTGATTCTATCTCCACAAATGAGTGTATTTCCCTGCGATAAGGAGAACAATTTTTTTTTCAGTTTCTTTAATGGCGGAGAAATTGCCTTCATGTCTCACACATAGTATCTATTCAGTAAATGCTGGTTGAAGTTTTTGTTGGTTGTGCTGTTTTGTTTGCCATGGACAGAAGCCCAGTGCACCGAAATAACATGACAGATTGAAAGACCTCCATAAACAGTGATACTGTACTAAGAATAGTGGTGGACTGATGATGAAGTGACAATTGTTGGTCCTCCACTAGAAGGATAAAGAGGGATATTGTTTCCAGATAGCTAGTTCTAGGAGTTTTAGAGCTAATGGAAGGAGTAGAGTGAGGGTAGTTACAGATGACATAAAACAATAAACCTAAAAATGGCTTAAACAGTAAGATACATTTATGACATAATAGGAAATGTATAAGCAGGGCAGTTTCAGGTAACCCAATATCAAGGACCTAGGTACTTTCTGTTTTTTTCTATTCTGCCATCTTTATATATTGGTGTGCCATTTTAAGCTGGCTTATCTCAAGGTCTCAAGATGGTTGTTACCACTCCAGGCATGACTTGCAAATGAAAATTTCAGAAGGCAGAAAAGGGAACATTTCTTTTTAAGAGCCTGAGCCCCCTTTTGAGAATGAAGAAAACCTCAAAAGTGTTCTCAGCTGATTTACCATGTCGTACTGGCCAGAGTCATGACACATGCCCAACTCCCTATACCAGTCATGCGGCAAGGAGAGCACCATGATTATTGGGCCTGGGTCGAGCAGCAGCAGCAGCAGCATCACCTGAGACTTGTGATAAGTATACATGCTTAGGCCTCACTGGAGACCTACTAAATTATGAAAGAAACTCAGGGCAGTGCCTGGGAGGGCTGACCCAGCAATCTGTGTTTCAGTAAGAACTTCTAGTAATTTTGATGTACACTGAGTTTGAGAACCACTGGCTTAGAGCAATAAAGATCCATCCCTTGGGGCTAGGGAAAGGCCTAGCCTCCTTTGAAGGATATGAGGCCAACAAGAGGAGAAGAGAGAAGGGGGAAGAATGAATGTTAGATCGGCAACCAAAAATGTTTACACAATCCTTCAAGGAGTACGATCTTTCTTAGTACCCACTACTATTGCTTCCCTCCCTTCTTTTATTCTCTGTGTGGGCCTCAAGACGCCATACTGACCTGCCTGCTTAATCTCTGAAGCAGCACACTGTATCTCAAAAAGGTGACTCCTCAGTTGCTTCTGATTATCACACCACTGTGGCTATAATCTTGTTTGTTTGCTGTGAAGGGCTTTCAGTTTCTTTAGGTTATAAAAATAGGAATATAAAACAAAAACATTTAAAAAACTTAAGATACCGGCCGGGCACGGTGGCTCAAGCCTGTAATCCCAGCACTTTGGGAGGCCGAGACGGGCGGATCACAAGGTCAGGAGATTGAGACCATCCTGGCTAACACGGTGAAACCGCGTCTCTACTAAAAAAAATACAAAAAACTAGCCGGGCGAGGTGGTGGGCGCCTGTAGTCCCAGCTACTCGGGAGGCTGAGGCAGGAGAATGGCATGAACCCAGGAGGCGGAGCTTATAGTGAGCCGAGATCCAGCCACTGCACTCCAGCCTGGGTGACAGAGCGAGACTCTGTCTCAAGAAAAAAACGAAAAAAACAAAAACAAAAAACTTAAGATATTACCAGTAGTCATTTCAAAATATTCAGATATGGTTTTTTTCTTTCATTTTCTGCCTTTCCTGATTTTTCTTCAGGACATTTATATTGATTTTGTACTAAAGGAAAAACTATCGAACTTAAAAGATGTTGTTAAAAGAGTTAATAACATTTCAGTAAACCTACATTTTGTTTTCCTTTCTTAATTTTATTGTGCCCATCTAGTTGTAATAACATTTTGCCTTTTTGATAGGTTTCCTAAAGACAAAAAAATGGAGGAATCCGTAAACCAAATGCAGCCATTGAATGAGAAGCAGATAGCCAATTCTCAGGATGGATATGTATGGCAAGTCACTGACATGAATCGACTACACCGGTTCTTATGTTTCGGTTCTGAAGGTGGGACTTATTATATCAAAGAACAGAAGTTGGGCCTTGAAAATGCTGAAGCTTTAATTAGATTGATTGAAGATGGCAGAGGATGTGAAGTGATACAAGAAATAAAGTTATTTAGTCAAGAAGGCAGAACCACAAAGCAAGAGCCTATGCTCTTTGCACTTGCCATTTGTTCCCAGTGCTCCGACATAAGCACAAAACAAGCAGCATTTAAGGCTGTTTCTGAAGTTTGCCGCATTCCTACCCATCTCTTTACTTTTATCCAGTTTAAGAAAGATCTGAAGGAAAGCATGAAATGTGGCATGTGGGGTCGTGCCCTCCGGAAGGCTATCGCGGACTGGTACAACGAGAAAGGTGGCATGGCCCTTGCTCTGGCAGTTACAAAATATAAACAGAGAAATGGCTGGTCTCACAAAGATCTATTAAGATTGTCACATCTTAAACCTTCCAGTGAAGGTAAGCATAAGATCTTCATTGGGAACAAGGGTGGATAAGGGATATCCAATAAATAGCAAATTTTTATTTAACATAAGTGTGTAATATTTTCTAGAAATAGCCTTTCTTTCTCAAAACATGCATTAATTCAAATATGTTTAATGCCTTCCTGGGATTACACACCTACCACAGGCAATCCAGACATTAATAATCAAGAATCAAATGACGGGTTTATAGATTAATAATCTGAATCTTAAAGTGCCACCGTCCTAACTGGAATGCTCACCCAAGTGATTATGGACTGCGTAAGTAGCATGGACAGATTAAAAGTTGCAATAATCCTTGGATATGGGTACGATCATTAGAAGGAACTGCTTTTGAGTTCCAGCTTTGCCAGTTACTCAGCAGATATTCAAATTTGGTCTCAGTATAATCGTTTGTAAAACTTAGGTAAACTGTACACAACTATTCCATAAGATCATGTATAGAAAACTGCTCTGTAACCAATGAAATGCTAAGTAGAAAAGTAAAAAAAAAAAAAAAAAAAAAAAAGTTGCAATAAGCAAAACAGCTCCTTGCCAGTAGGTGGCAGATGGCCATGCTGTACCCACTTCTCTAGCCCATTCTTTTTTTTTCCTCCCCATCTTCCTAGGACATGTGTTCCTTGGAACCTAAAGGGATATACCTTGTACAGTGCTGAACTTAACAGTTCAGGAAGTTAATTGTTTTCAGGCAGTCAGTCAGGGGACCTGATAACTTGGGGCAGTGTTTCTGTATCTATGGAAAGAGACTTTTGAAAAGTTAGTTGACTCTATAATAATTACTAGTCCTTTTAAGGAAAGAAATAAGAAAAACTCTTGGGCAGGAGTAATTTGAAGTGTGAAGTTCCACAAAAATCAACATGTACAAAATTTGACATTTTTTTTTTTTTTTGGCACCAGAAGTGAAACTTGAAAAGACAGCCACTCAGAAGGGTGGGTTCACGTTTCAGTTCTGTGGCCTTAAGCCAAGTAACAAGCTGAGTTTCTGTACCTTCATCTAAAAAGGAGGGTAAGGAGAATAAGCTTACAATTATTGAGACTAAATGTCCCAGCACCTAACATATAGTAGAAGTATACTTTGGTTCTTTCTCCCTTCCACACATATCTTTATGTACAGAATCTCTTCAGTAATTCCTAACTTATCATTTTAATTATAAGTGGAATTTTTCAAATGAAATGTGAACAATAAATTGCAAGTATTTATATGTACAAGCATTTTATTTTGATTTTATTAGATTACATGTTTTAAAATAGTTGAATAATATGGAAAAATATGACGCAGTCGTACTCTTCAAAAGAAATAACTGCATATCAGCAGTCCCCAACCTTTTTGGCATTAGGGACTGGTTTTGTGGAAGACAGTTTTTCCAGACAGTGGGGAGGGCAGGGTGGTTTCAGAATGAAACTGTTCCACCTCAGATCATCAGGCATTAGAGTCTCATAAGGAGAGCGCAACCTAGATTCCTCACATGCACAGATCACAGTAGGGTTCGCGCTCCTATGAGACTAATGCCCAGCTACCTATCTGACAGGAGGTGGAGCTCACTTGCCTGCCGCTCACCTCCTGCTGTGCGACCCAGTTCCTAACAGGCCATGGACTGGTATCTGTGTATGGCCTTGGAGTTGAGGACTCTTGCTGTATATGATATGTTGTAATTTACTCCAGATTTTTCCTAAACATGTATTACTGTGTTTCACTAAATTTTGTTATATGCCTTCTATGTTTCAGTAAAAAGTATATTATTGCTATTGCTATTGCTATTGCTGTTTTTTTTTTAGGTCAGTTGAAATAGTTGCATGTATACCATTGTATGACTGTAATTTATTAGCTAGTCTCTTATTGACAAGAATTTTTTCTGTTTTTTTAATACTGTTATTGACAACTGTTGTTTCTGGTTTTTTGATACTGTTACAAAAATACTACAGTGCAAACTCTTGCATAGAGTACATACTTTCATAATGGTTAAATCCACAAACAGTATGTGAAGGATCAGTGTACCCACATTTGAACACTGACTGTTGTCATTATTTTTTAATCTATTTCAGTAGAATCATGAAAGATTCTTTGAATTTACATTTTTGGGCAGAAGCTCATCTTTTCATGTGCTTATTTTTATATATATACACACACATATATTTATATATACACACCTATATATATGTATACATATATGTGTGTATATATAGGTATATATATGTATGTGTATATATACCTATATATAGGTATATATATATTTTGTATTTTTATATATAAAAATATTTATTATATACATTTTGTATTTTTAGTAGAGACAGGATTTCACCATGTTGGTAATGCTGGTCTCAAACTCCTGACCTCAGTTGATCCGCCTGCCTTGGCCTCCCAAAGTGCTGGGATTACAGGCATGAACCACCGTGCTGGGCCCTCAGCAAATATTTATTGAGCACCTACTATGGATAGACACTGTTCTAAGAACTTGGGGTTCATATTACAGGAGTTTATTATTATGTACAGTGCATGCATTTTTTCTTCTTTTTTTTTCCTTTGTCTTTTTTTTTTTTTTTGGTTGGGGGACATTTCTGGCACACTAAAGTTTGGAATTTTAATGTAGTCAAACTTATCAGTGTCTTCATAGGTTTATGTTTTGTGTTAGGATTAGAAGGGCCTTTTCCAACCTAAAATACTTATCTGTGGTTTTTTCCTAACATTTTCATGGTTAAGAAACATTATTTTTTATATTTAAATTTTTTATCCAAATATTTGATCCAACGTAAGAAGAACTTAGGCATCCAGCTTTATTTATTTGTTTGTTGAGATGTGTCTTGGAAGTGTGGAGCAAGTACTATAGACTAAGAGAAAGACCGCCCATTACTAGTCTGATTGGACCAGTTTCTGAACTTGTGAAAATAATTATTCTGTGCTTTGTTTTTTTGGTCTATATAATGAGGAATTAGTACATGTTCCCTAAACTTACTTCCACACATAGGATTCTTTAATTTGAAACTGTTGAGGGCAGAACTCATAATTGAAACCATGTTAGTAATATCACATTGGACATGGAGAATCCCTAGCATTTTGAAGTTTAAAAATTTGGAAAAACTGTAAGCAACAGAATTAATAGTATTTTAATATCTTAACTGTAATGTGTATTTATAACCGATAAAACAAGTCAAAATGTGATTCAAGTAATCAGGTATGGTATTTTTATTGTGCACCCACTGTGTGGCCAGCACAATTACAGAACTGGGTAGGATAAAGCTGCTTTAAGGAATTTTTATTTTCATTGGAAAAACAAAATAGAAGATATACTCACATGAAACATTTACTCATTTAAGATGATTTTGTACCAAAATCTGGAAGATAGCAAGAGTCACAATACTTGAGAAGTTCCTGCATGTTAGTGTTAACTTTTGATCAAGTTATTTAGAATTCAAAAATAACATAATAGGCTCAATTGGCATAGAGATGTGTTTCATATGGCCTATACAATATTTTAGGGTAAAAATGAATTCTTTGTCATCATCTTTAAAAATCAGAAGACATAAAAACTCGTATTCTGGCTTCTCTTGAAAGTAATTTTTTTTTATTTTGGCAGCACGAAGTCGATACATGGCTACACCACTTCTCAGGGCACACTCTGTTCAGTCACCACACCCTCACAACTGTCTATTACATCACCGTGGTGGTGTTTTGTTTTTTTGTGTTTTTTTGAGACAGAGTCTTACTCTGTTGCCCGGGCTGAAGTACAGTGGCGTGATCTTGGCGCACTGCAACCTCTGCCTCCTGGGTTCAAGTGATTCTCCTGCCTCAGCCTCCTGAGTAGCTGGTATTACAGGCATGCGCCACCACACCCAGCTAATTTTTTAATTTTAGTAGAGACAGAGTTTCGCCATGTTGGGCAGTCTGTTCTCGAACCCCTGACCTCAGGTGATTCACACACCTTGACCTCCCAAAGTACTAGGATTACAGGTGTGAGCCATGGCGCCCGGCCTCACCGTGGTGGTTTTATTTCTTTATTTTATTTGCCCTTCCCTCATAGACATTTTAATGTTGTAATCCAATCCCTGCTGTGTTACAGAAGTGGTGAAACTAAGACCTAGAAAGACCACCATTTATTGGCAGAGTATAGGCTAGAACCTAGAACCCAGATTTTCTCACTCCCAATCCAAGGCTCTTTTCTCTTTCTTCTATTGGAAGAAATTATGGAGGGAATCAACAAGTTACTGTTTTCTTCTTCTTCTTTTTTTTTCTTTGGACCAGTAATACTTCTCAGCTATTAAAACACAGTGTAAAAGAACCTACCTACCTGTCCACTTCTATTTATTTCTGCTGTTTGTAAATATACATATTTTATTCAACAGCAAAGAGAGACAAATGAATATAATTAATATAAGATAATACAATATAATACAATATTAATTGAGATACATCTGTACTCTTGTGAGTTGTTCTGAGATTATGGACCTGAAACTTTCTAATGCTGGTGTCTTTGAAAAGAAAGAAAAGCCTCTGTAATAAAACTACTCAGGATACAGATTTTTTTACTCCAAAGTCTCATATTTAAATAGTAATAACTGAATAAGAAAATTAATTCACACCATTTGCTTAACAGTTATATCATGGAAAGCAGCATCCCAGTGTAAGGGCATTAACTCTTGTGTGTTGTTCATATAATGCATTTTGAGGAAACATGTTCTATTTTTTTACTTGGTAATCCTGCATGCTTTTTCAATTCTTTATCTTGTTAAAGGACTTGCAATTGTGACCAAATATATTACAAAGGGCTGGAAAGAAGTTCATGAATTATATAAAGAAAAAGCACTCTCTGTGGAGACTGAAAAATTATTAAAGTATCTGGAGGCTGTAGAGAAAGTGAAGCGCACAAGAGATGAGCTAGAAGTCATTCATCTAATAGAAGAACATAGATTAGTTAGAGAACATCTTTTAACAAATCACTTAAAGTCGAAAGAGGTGAGTGAATTATATGTTACAGCATGTGATTAGACATGAGTAATTTACTGTAGGTGCTAAAAGGATAAACTTGGGGTAGCTATATATTTATACTTCTAAAAAGAAAAATTATTTAAAATGTATCTTGAAATTAATGTCTATTTAAAACACCTACCATGATGTTCAACATGATGTAGGTGGCATTTGTGTTAGTTTCACTCCAGAAAATCTACTGCCTTGCTAATTAAAAAAAAAATCATCTACGCATTTCCTTCACAAAATATACTTCACTTCCTTTTTCTAGTAAAAAAAAAAAAAAAAACTTAGCTTATTTGATAAGTCTTTGACTTAGACATTTTCATTCTGAAAGTACTCTGAACCCCAAATGAAAGCCTGAGACTATATTATGAATATTTATTGATATAGGTGTGTTATACTGATTTATTTTCCCTTAATTCCTGGTATTTCTATCTATGTTATTGCAATAGGTATGGAAGGCTTTGTTACAAGAAATGCCTCTTACTGCATTACTAAGGAATCTAGGAAAGATGACTGCTAATTCAGTACTTGAACCAGGAAATTCAGAAGTATCTTTAGTATGTGAAAAACTGTGTAATGAAAAACTATTAAAAAAGGTAAGCATTATCAGTGTTCTTTGTTAGCTACTACTAACTGAAAAAGTGGCTCCTAAATTTTAGAAATGCAGTCAGTGCATTTTTAAGGTATTTTGAGATGTTCATTATACCAAATTGCATTATGGCTCTTAAGTGTAAGTTTAATACGTTTTCATTTTTCTCTTTGCTCTATGAAATGTAGTTATTAGCTACAATAACACAAAAATCTAAGGAGTATACATAATCACTATTTTTTGCTAAAATTTTCCTTATACTTTGTTTTGTTTCTAGGCTCGTATACATCCATTTCATATTTTGATCGCATTAGAAACTTACAAGACAGGTCATGGGCTGAGAGGAAAACTGAAGTGGCGCCCTGATGAAGAAATTTTGAAAGCATTGGATGCTGCTTTTTATAAAACATTTAAGGTAGTGATATGATTTTTGTTTTAAAACAAATGACTCAAGACTTAATATCTTTTGTAATAATACATTTTAAAAGTAGTATTAATAGTTTAATCATTTTTTAATTAGGTATTCATTTGTTTTTCTTTAGTTCATATGAGGTGGGTATATAATTAATATCGTGTAAGTTTATGAGTAAAGTATTTCTCTTTACCTTTGGGTAGCAACTAATTATTCTAAGATCATTTTGGTAGCTTTTAAGTTACTAACTGTATTAGTTTGTTCTTGCAGTGCTATAAAGAAGTACCTGAGACTAAGTAGTTTATAAACAAGAGAGGTTTAATTGGCTCATGATTCCACAGGTTGTACAGGAAGCACAGTGGCTACTGCCTTGCTTCTGAGGATGCCTTGGGAAACTTAAAATCATGGCAGAAAGGGAAGCAAACACATCCTTCTTCACATGGCGGCAGGAAGAAGTGATGAGCAAAAGTGGGGGAAGCTCCTTCAGATCTCGTCTGAACTCATTCACTATCACAAGAACAGTATAGGGGAAATCACCCCTATGATTCAATTATCTCTACCTGATCCCACCCTTGAACACGTGGGAATTATAGGAACTACAATTCAAGATGATATTTGGGTGGGGACACAGCCAAACCATATCAACAATCATGGCAGAAGGGGGATATGGTGCTAAGCTATTAGACTGCCCCCATGATCCAATCACCTCCCCCCAGGTCTCACCTTCAACACTGGGGATTACAGTGAACATAAGATTTGTGTGGAGACATAAATCCAACCCGTGTCACTAACTTTAGAAATTTGCCTTCCTATCAGGTCCTTTGACTTGGTCCTCTGTTTTCCCCATTAATTGGTAGATACATCTCATCAGTCTTGATAAAAAATGAGGTTTTTAGTAATGGAAATCTCACATCAAAGACAGAAGCTAAAACGTCTTGCTGTATAACAAAATACTAGCAACCAAATTCAGCAGCAAAATAAAAGGATTACACACCATAACCAAGTGATATTTATCCGTGGCATACAAGGATAGTGCAACATATGACAGCCAATCAATGTAATACATCACGTTAGTAGAATGAAGTGATAAAAACCACATGATCATCTTATTGATGCAGAAAAAGCATTTCACAAATTTCAACATTCCTTCGTGATAAAAAGAAAACCACTATATAAACCTGAAATTAACTCCCTCAACATGATAAAGGCCAGAGATTTAAAAAACAAAAATGTTTAAACCCCATAGCTAATGTCATAATGGTGAGTGATTGTAATGTTTTCCCCTAAAATCAAGAAAAAGACAAGGATGCCCAGTTTTTCCACTTTAATTCCACATAGTATTGGAAGTTCTAGTAATAAGGCAAGAAAATGAAATAATGAAAGACATCTCAATTGGAAATAAAGAAGTAAAATTATCCTCAGATGCTATGATCTCGTATTTATAAAATGCTAAAGAATCCACCAAAAACTCTAAAGTTAAAAAATGAATTCAACAAAGTTACAGGGTATAAAACCAACACATAAAAAATCAGTTGTATTTCTATATACTAGCAATGAACAATCCAAAAAAAGAAATTAAGAAAACATTTCCATTTACAATATCATCAAAAAATAAAAGACAAGAGTAAATTTAAGAAGCTGCAAGACTTACACAGTAAGTCTTACACTGCAAGACTTACACTACAAAACACTGCTAAAAGAAATTAAGTCATGAATAAATAGAAACACATCTGTGTTTGCAGATTGGAAGACTTAATATTGTTAAGATGACAATACTATCCAAAGCAGCCAATCTACAGATTTAATGCAATCCCTTTCAAAATCCCAATGGCATGTTTTACAGAAATAGAAAAACCCATTCTAAAATTCCTAAGAAATTTCAAGTGACCCCAAATAGCCAAAACAATCTTTAAAAAAAGAACAAAGTCTGGAGGACTCTTCAGTAACTCTTTCAGTTACCACAAACCTGCAGTAATCAAAACAGTGTGGCACTGGCAAAAGAATAAACATACAGACCAATGAAATAGAGTCCAGAGTTAAAACCTTGCGTATATGTTCAGTTGACTGTTTTTTTTTTGTTTTGTTTTGAGACAGAGTCTCACTGTGCCACCCAGTTTGAAGTGCGGTGGTGCAATATCAGCTCACTGCAACCTCCGCCTCCTGGGTTCAAGTGATTCTCATGCCTCAGCCTCCCAAGTAGCTGGGATTACAGGCATGCACCATCACACTCAGCTAATTTATTCCATTTTTAGTAGGGACGGGGTTTCACTGTTAGCCAGGCTCATCTTGAACTCCTTGCCTCAAGTGATCCACCCACCTTGGCCTCCCAAACTGCTAGGATTACAGGCGTGAGCCACTGCACCAGGATGTCAGTTGACTTTTGATGAGGATGTCAAGATGATTCACTGGGGAAAGGACAATCTTCAACAAATGGTGTTGGGAAAACTGCATATTCACATACAAAAGAATGAAGTTGGACCATTATCTTACACCAAATACAAGATTAGTTCAAAGTGGATCAGTGACCTAAATTTAAGAGCTAAAACTAGAAAACACCAAAAACACAGGCAGCAGAAGAAAAAATAAATTGAACTTCATCAAACTTAAAAATTTTGTGTATTAAAGGATACTATCAAGAAAGCTAAAAGATAATCTACACAATGGGAGAAAATATTTGCAGACCATATATCTGTTAAGTGCCTAATATCCAGAATACTGAAAACTACAAATTCAGCAAAAGTACAAACAACCTAGTTTAAAAATGGGCAAAGTACTTGAATAGACATTTTTCTAATGATATACAAATGAGTAATAAGAACATGAAAAGAGCCAGGTGCCCTATAATCCCAGCACTTTGGGAGGCTAAGATGGGTTGATCACCTGAGGTCAGGAGTTCGAGACCAGCCCGGCCAACATGGTGACACCCCATCTCTACAAAAAAAAAAAATACAAAAAATTAGCTGGATATGGTGGCGGGCGCCTGTAATCCCAGCTACCCATGAGGTTGAGACAGGAGAATCTCTTGAACCCAGGAGGCAGAGGTTGCATTGAGCTGAGATTGTGCCATTGCACTCCAGCCTGGGCAACGAGCGAAACTCCGTCTCAAAAAAAAAAAAAAAAAAAAAAAAAAAAACCATGAAAAATACTCAACATCATTAATAATCAGAGAAATGCAAATCAAGATGACAGTGTGATACCACTTCACATCTAGTTGGATAGCTAATATCAAAAAAGCAGAAAACAAGAACTGGGGAAGATGTGGAGAAATTGGAACCTTAGTGTATGGTGGGAATGTAAAATGGTGTAGCCCCTGTGGAAAACAATTTGGCAGTTCTCAAAAGGTTAAACGTAGAATTACCATACCATCCAGCAATTCCATTTCTAGGTATATACCCAAAAGAATTGAAAACAGGTATTAAACAGATATTTGTTTACCAATATTCACAGTAGCATTATTCACAATAGCCAACAGTTAAATGTATTCTTGTCTTTTATTTTTGTTTTTTTTTTTTTTTTTTTTTGCTTTTCTTTCTTTTTTTTTTTTTTTTTAATTTATTTATTATTATTATACTTTAAGTTGTAGGGTACATGTGCATAACGTGCAGGTTTGTTACATATGTATACTTGTGCCATGTTGCTGTGCTGCACCCATCAACTCGTCATTTACATCAGGTATAACTCCCAATGCAATCCCTCCCCCCTCCCCCCTCCCCATGATAGGCCCCGGTGTGTGATGTTCCCCTTCCTGAGTCCGAGTGATCTCATTGTTCAGTTCCCACCTATGAGTGAGAACATGCGGTGTTTGGTTTTCTGTTCTTGTGATAGTTTGCTAAGAATGATGGATTCCAGCTGCATCCAAGTCCCTACAAAGGACTCAAACTCATCCTTTTTTATGGCTGCATAGTATTCCATGGTGTATATGTGCCACATTTTCTTAATCCAATCTGTCACTGATGGACATTTGGGTTGATTCCAAGTCTTTGCTATTGTGAATAGTGCTGCAATAAACATACGTGTGCATGTGTCTTTATAGCAGCATAATTTGTAATCCTTTGGGTATATACCCAGTAATGGGATGGCTGGGTCATATGGTACATCTAGTTCTAGATCCTTGAGGAATCGCCATACTGTTTTCCATAATGGTTGAACTAGTTTACAATCCCACCAACAGTGTAAAAGTGTTCCTATTTCTCCACATCCTCTCCAGCACCTGTTGTTTCCTGACTTTTTAATGATTGCCATTCTAACTGGTGTGAGATGGTATCTCATGGTGGTTTTGATTTGCATTTCTCTGATGGCCAGTGATGATGAGCATTTTTTCATGTGTCTGTTGGCTGTATGAATGTCTTCTTTTGAGAAATGTCTGTTCATGTCCTTTGCCCACTTTTTGATGGGGTTGTTTGTTTTTTTCTTGTAAATTTGTTTGAGTTCTTTGTAGGTTCTGGATATTAGCCCTTTGTCAGATGAGTAGATTGCAAAAATTTTCTCCCATTCTGTAGGTTGCCTGTTCACTCTGATGGTAGTGTCTTTTGCTGTGCAGAAGCTCTTTAGTTTAATGAGATCCCATTTGTCAATTTTGGCTTTTGCTGCTGTTGCTTTTGGTGTTTTAGACATGAAATCTTTGCCCATGCCTATGTCCTGAATGGTACTACCTAGGTTTTCCTCTAGGATTTTTATGGTATTAGGTCTAACATTTAAGTCTCTAATCCATCTTGAATTAATTTTCGTATAAGGAGTAAGGAAAGGATCCAGTTTCAGCTTTCTACTTATGGCTAGCCAATTTTCCCAGCACCATTTATTAAATAGGGAATCCTTTCCCCATTTCTTGTTTCTCTCAGGTTTGTCAAAGATCAGATGGCTGTAGATGTGTGGTATTATTTCTGAGGACTCTGTTCTGTTCCATTGGTCTATATCTCTGTTTTGGTACCAGTACCATGCTGTTTTGGTTACTGTAGCCTTGTAGTATAGTTTGAAGTCAGGTAGCGTGATGCCTCCAGCTTTGT